ACGGACGGACGCACGAACGGCCGGACGCACGCACGCTCATGTGATTCTACAAGCTGCATCTGACTATGTCAGATGAGCTAAAAATTAAACGCACATCAGCGATTTATAAAATTATGTTTTTACTTATTTCCCACCCAATATTGAACAGCTGAAATTTCTTTTAACCATGAATTGATACAAATTTAACTGAAAATAGCTGAAAGCTGGAATAGAGTCCTACTATAAATCTATTGCAAACGAACTCCTTATAGGCTTCAAAGCACTTTCTTGTACATAGCATCTACAAATACGATAAATGGGCTATAATTAATAACGCTACCTATGAAAAATGTAATGGTAATACGGGGTTTAGCACGAATGGCATTTTTGAAATGTTGGAAAGGGTCGCTAAGTGTTAGTATGCATTATCACAACATACATTATAGTTCACTCTATAAGTAAGAGCGAACAAACTATTGATTACACTATTCAAAAGTTGCCAGGGAACATATTTCAACCATTATGAATAGAAAACCGTGCACGACACATCTTATTATGTTATATCCAAATCAGCGCTGTATATATTAAGATATGGCTTTTACACTATAACCATGAGGATGATATGTTACTTGTAAACATCGCCAAACAGAAAATTCCGTACACACAGGTTCCTGTATGTGATCGCGCTGATAGGAAATGGAATGAAGCATGGGCGGGTAAAGGAAAGACATTCAAGTATGTTAGAGGAAGCCCGGGTAACATAGCGTGTGGCACCGATGTCTGCATACGTCTGCATATGTCCGTAGGTGAGACTGCCTGCTGCTATCTTACCAAATGTGCTATTAATTCCTCCTACAGGTGGCGCTCCTCTGTGCAGTCATCCGTGCTCTACCAAGTGACTACAGACTCCCTCTGTGGGCACGTGGTGATAACCACATTGCAAGCTCATTCCGGACTTGATGTCGCGGCATCTGCTATGCATCTTCTTTTAGACTTATATTAGTTTTAAATGTAATAATATGTAGAACACATTAGAATTGTCATTAGAGGCATGCCATTCGATGATGACATTTTCGCAGAATGCGCGAATTTTTATTACGTGTTGGCGGTTGAGAATTAGGTTTGCTTCCCAATTACGCTGATGCCAGTCATCCGAATAATTCAAATCGCGACAGAAATTTGAGATCGAGTCAGGCGTGGCTACGTACGTCGTAGAATTGTTTCAGTGTCGGCAAACACGATTACACGAGTCATAATCAAGAATTCGTTACTTCACGCTATGTGGGCCTTACGCGCTGATTAAAATACGCCGTGATTTGATTCGCTAATATCGTGAGATTGATTTCCAGACAGATAAAAACATTTCGTATGATGCATGGTCATATAGTACTATGCGAGCAGTACATGTGACCAAACAGACTCGTGTTAGCGCGATGTGAAAGCGGTCGGCATGTTTCCATAACTCAGAGTATGATCGTGACGTCTCGCACGAACTCGGCTATCTCCGAAGGTGAATGCAGAGATCCTAGAACAGATTACTATCAGAATATATTATATATTCAGAACATTCCTATACAGAACTATTAGTGTTCTATTGTCTCTGGGCTGTATGCGTTCACCTTAAGAGATAGCCGAGTTTGTGGGTGACGTGACGATCATACTCTGAGTTATGGAAACATATGCCGATCGATGTGAGCATGGCCACATTGCAGTGAACCACGCTTAATTGTTCCTGATTAAAACCTGACAACTGAATTACAAAATGTTCTGTTTAGTCACAGCATTGTGGTTTACCCATTACCACCACCTAACAATCCTTCTATTTGAAATCACCGGGAACTGCATGTGGATTGTTCAGTGTATACAGAGCACAGTGATAAAACGTTCATATAATTTATTATATTACTTAGAGTTAAAAAATACGTAGCTGCCACTTTAGGTGTTAATAACACCAAAGTTGAAGGGACTAATCACATCAACTTCTACATTTAAGACTGTGAATGGTGGTGCACAGTAAGTTAAAATTAATAGTTTGAGCTTTATATTTTAACATTTCGTAGAATATACATACATTATATGTATATAAACATAAATAGTATATAGATACCCATTATAAGAGCAGATAAACATGCAGCATTGCTGATCCATGAAACATGTAAATGTCTTAATGTGTGGGGTGTTACATTGCGGCACCACCTTACACTTACAGTGCTAGTTTATAAACCTGTCAAACTGATAATAAAATATTAATATTCTATAATCAACATACCTACTGCTTTCTACCCTTAGAACACATTATTTTTGGATATCAAGCAGTGTACTATGATCTAGTATTGCACAGTGTAATTAAAACTATTTTGATAATTTCATTAAAATATATATATATATATCCACCTCCCCCACACACAGCACATTTCAATGCAAATAAACACTGACTCTGCAGTTACCAACCCATAGCAGCTGAAAAATACTGTAATATTACTCGCCTAGAGTAGTTTTAGTAAGTACAGCACACACATCCTCTCTCTCAATGATTATTAAATTTTAGAAAGAAAAGAAATGAGTGTAGGTGAGAACCCATCTCCACTTTCCCTCCCCATTATCACTATCCTCTCCTATCTTCATTGGTCAGCAATTCTGCCTGCCAGCCTACCTCATCTGTTCATCCACCTAGTATCAAACATACGGCTAATTATAACGTGGAAAATACCGTGCGCGTGCATGCGTCGTGAATGGCAAGCACGTGGTGCCCCCTACTGGTCGCAAATCTTTTCAACGTCATAGTAGTCAACATGAGCACCGGATTCAAACTTGTCATCTTCGAGCAAGCAGACGAACTTCATCATGGACGTGTCGCAGTCCAGCAGCTGCTCATTATCCTTCATGTCTGCATTAGCAAATCAGCGGTTTTCAACACTTGGGCAGGACAGTGTTCGTGTTGACCTTACCCTTACCCCAACATTAAACCCCACTCTTACATAACCATATCTTTAAATCGTCACCTAAATTTTGCTTTGAGCTTTACCCTAAGCTAACCATAATCTTAATGTTTACATTAAACCTTATATCCTAACTTAGCTTGTCCTAACCCCAGCATTATAAACCTTAACCTAACATAGGCCTAACCTCATCATTACACATTACCCTAAACTAACACACACCCAACCCTGACCCCACGTTGAGCAATCCGTAAATGTTGCGCCTCCTCAGCCAAAATATTAAACTAGTGTTGAATGAAATTTCGCCAATTAATATCACTGATATGAGATACTTTAGCATTATGATTTAGAATTGCTACACTAGCCATGCTCCTGTACATGGGTAACAGCAAGACAGGATACCTTTGAACATTTGCTTCGTGTCTTTGTCACCGACGTGGTCTATAATGTGTGTGGTCATCGATGTTAGCAGGGGACCAGGTGCGTAGCTCAGCACCCTCACATCCGGCTCCTCCTCCGCCATTACACGGAAAAACATGTCCCGCGCCGCCTTTCCTGAAATGATGCAGACGTTACATGCTGACAACGTTGATAAACCTTGTGTTGTCTTTCATTAAAATTGCTTGCACATTTCTGCCATGTTTTTATACTCACCAATATATATGTATGTTCATAGTAATATGGTATAGGTGTTGATATATCGTGTACTCTATATAGTACTTGGATGTGACCTTTCAGTAATGGTGTGTAGATATAGGTAGTAATCATTTTAAAGTGCTGCTAGACATATGGCTGTAACAGTTCACACTTATAATTAGATTCAAGAACATATTCAACTAGAGAAACACTATCTTTCATATAGTCTGTTAATTGCAATTGGTACTACTTTCAGATACCATTAAATAACCCAACTAGAGTGATGTCTCCCTTATATGTTAATTCATCAAACATGAGGTTTTCCTTATGTCCAACATTATAACAGTTAATAATTCCACGGTACTCAGTTTAATATAGTATACAATTGACTACAGCTTATCATGAGGATAAATCAGCCTCATATCTCAATATTTTGCTTACCTGTGCAGTACATGCTGAATGACTTCACTGGTTGTATGGCACAAAGAGATGAGATATTAACCACGTATGTTTTGAACCGTGTCCGATCTGGGAAGAACTTGAAGAATGCAGCAGTAAGAAGCATGGTCGAGCCAATGTTCAAATCCAAATTTCTCCTGACTGCTCTGGTGTCATCTTGCTGAATTGCTGTGTGTGTTATGTCTCCCAGTGTTCCAGCATTGTGAATCAGCATGACCTAAGCAAAACTAGATTCTATTAACGTTTTTACACTAGAAATACATTGCACTATTAAGAAAGAAGTGCGAAACTACTTACTTTTATTCGTCCTAACCGAAATGCCACCATTCTAATTTCACACACATCACTATTCATAATGCCATTGTCACTATTCTTTCAAGTAACCCAAATCTTGACCATCAAGCTTTACCCAAGATCAACATACTATGGTCCTCCAACCTCACTTGTACAAACAAGCGCCGCAGAGCGACAGCGCTCACCTGACGGCAGGTGTTCTGATGCTAAACTCACTGGCAAACGAATGAAGAGCACCCTCCCATCACCACGTTCGCGCTCAGTATATCTAGGATACTACCAGGAGTAAGATAATATAGGAGGAGTATGACAGTCCAAAATACGTGAAATTCAACATTTGCTTGCCTAATTTTACCGATGATATATTACGTGCAACTCGTATTCCTAATATATCATCGGTAAAATTAGGCAAGCAAATGTTGAATTTCACGTATTTTGGACTGTCATACTCCTCCTATATTATCTTACTCCTGATACTACTAATACAGATCTAAAATCTACGATAGCTAGGCTTTGCTATACCGGTAGTACAGTAATAAAGATACAGCTGTGTAACTTTAATGACTTCGCTATATTAACATGTTATCATGGATATGCGTCGAGCGCGAACGTAGTGGTGGTGGTGGGGGGAGAGTGGGGGGAGGGGGCGGGTGGAGGGGGCTCTAATAGCAAAAGCAGTTGCTGCGAGATGGCGCGTGCAAGTATCATCAATAATCAAAGATGGCATCACCCTTCGTGCGTAATAACCTCACTCCATTGAGTTGCTGAAATCCAAGTATATTCAGGCAGGCAAGAATTTCGCTCAGCTGTGAGTTAACACATCTGCATTGCAGGTTGCCAGGCAATAATTATGATTAGAATAGTGCCAGTTCACCCCCATGCATGTGTAATGGGCTGCCCCCATGTTTTTCCCTACCCACGTGAGAATTCAGGGTTCATTACAGTGTGCTAATACAGGGTGCTACTCAGGGTGCTAATACAGGGTGCTACTCAGGGTGCTAATACAGACTGCTTTAGAAAATAATATGATTTAAGGAGCGTAAACCTTGTTCAACAAACATTTGCCTTTGCAATTGAACTGTGCAACTGTAGCCTCACATCCACAATAGCAAAAGCAGTTCAGTCCTTTGTTAACAGTCAACAAATCCATGTTTAACCCTCCTCTTGAGGGTCAAAAAGTTATCCGACACTTACTCTTCGCATGTCAGCGGAAAGTACATTTTATGGTCCTTGCAATAAAGCCATAAAAATGGTAGATCACCGCTGAAACAAAAAAGTTTTCCAATCGCTCCGTCAGACCATGTCCTCAGAAAATGTATAAAATCTGCCCTGTGCCCCATTGACCTTTGACCTGTGACCTCCAATTTCGGCACAGTGATAGATTTTCCTACCATGATGCTATACACCGACTATCACGAGCCTAGGTTGAGCCGTTTAGATTTGTGCCGCAATTCTGCATTTCCTCCCTATACCTTAAGTTAAGGAGGGAATGTTCCCCCTTCTTTTACACCTCTTGATATTTGACCCCCAGCTTCGACATCCCAACTCGTTTTCGGATTACCCCCCCACGTCCCGACTTTCGAATCCGTACGTCGAGCCGTTTAGATTTGAGCCCAACTGTTGACGGACGCACGCACGCACAGACGATCATGCGATTCTACAAGCTGCATCTGACTATGTCAGATGAGCTAAAAACCCAAATTGGAGCTTTAAAAACCAATGCTATTTGTCACCACTAATTATTTAATTAATGCTGCAGTCATGCTCTGCACATGCCCATCCTACCTCACCTGTTGAAAATCCTCTGCATTTATACTCTGCAGGGAGAAGATTGTGGGGAAGATGTCATCATACGTATCCCTCAAGCACAAATCCACTACGAGTGGTTGCACGCTGATCTCAGGGTAGTGACTCTCCACATACTCCTGCGTGCGTAGCAGGTTTGCCTCCGTGCGTCCGGCTATCGCTATCACAGAGCCACTAGCAAATCTGCAAATGACCCGCTACAGGTGACAACATTTCAAATATGTTTCCCTAACAGGTATGCTTCCCAAGATACAGCTTTGGAGAGATCACTCCACCTTCCTGCCAATCTTCAAGTGACTACAAACGTCACTTTGACACAGTTTAGGTATTTGGAATTAAGGCTCATACAGCCAGCTTACCTAGAAGCGAGGTTTACAACTATACTGTAACCCAGGCCCTTGCCTCCACCGGTTACAATACAAAAGGTTCGGAGGCTCCATATGTCAGCCGGCATGGCAGCGACTGCAGGGAAGGTGCCGCAAAACCCTGCCTAAATAAAGAACTGGCAGTTAGTGTTAGAAAGCTGCAAGTGGTTTAATCTAGAAAACACAACATCAATTCAATATTTAGCTATTGAATTACATGCACTCATAGTCATACCTAACTCTAACGCAATCAACAACATTCATGACTAAATCATGATACTGATAGTTATAGTAAATCTGTACCACTGAGTGTATCTTTGCATGTTCAGGCTATGTCTGCAGAATGTGTCACTGTCAGGCCGTACAATCATTGAATCAATGTCTGAAGGTGAAACAGCAGATAAGAAACATGTATCGTTGCAATTCCCCGGGGAACATGGAAGGGAAAGATCCGAGTTAATTTATGCGGTTCAAGGATAGAGATGATGTCCAGGACGGTGACACTGATAGTATTAGTGATAGCGATAGGATAGGATGATGTTTATGACTGAATACTGGACATGCTCTCTATCCTGGCTTGAGCCATTTTGGCATTTAGGCTATGGAGACGTTCGGTTCAATGATACTTTGATAGTTTGGCGACCCGCTCGGAAATGCGGGGGTACGCCTTGTGAAATGCACCTGTTTTTCGAATGCAAAGAAAAAGGTTCCTGATTAGTACCATCTACCTATACTTACACTTATTCTAGTGGTTTATCTCTGAATCCACGAAATAGCTACGTTGTTTACGATGTTTTTACTTTGCCTACTTTTATTGTTAGATTGTTGCGCTCTAGTGCACAAACTCTGAACTAAATCACACAGCAAAATTCGACGTCACGGGGGCGCTGCAATCGGGATGCGTGCGCATCTCAAAGAGTAAGAGAAAACAGTTAAAACTTTGTACAAGTGATGTGTTTTCTGCGAAATCTAGCACTACTGAAACATTATAAATAATATTTATCCGCATGGACGTAAAGGGTGATCTTCATAGAGAATGAATTCAACGACTACTGGGGTAAAAAAGCCAGGTATTTGCAGATATTTTGCAAGTACGGGGACGTGTTTTTATGGAGATGATTGCCAATTTCTTCATCACCATCCTGATCAGATGCAGCATTTAAATGGTGTGACTGCCAACCCTGGATCTCAGCTGACAGAGGAGAGCGATATAACTGAAGAAATAGGTACCGTAGTGTAAAACATGCCTATGGTGTTATATTGGTGGGTTTGAAAGTAGATCTAGTAGAATCAGAATGGCTCCTACTCACAGTCACACTACTAGTACTGGGTAGAGAGGGTCTATTTCCCCCAGGGTACTGCCGGAACGTACCCTGGGTACGGTCCGTTATACCAGAACGTACCCTGGTACCCGAGCATATAAATGCCTAGATGCTCTGCTGGTACTATCTAATATGCCGGACCGTACCTCGCCTACTCCACTAACGAGTCTAGGGAGTCGCCTACGCCTACTCCCTAACCCTAACCCTATCACTATCAGATAGTTACCAGGGTACGTTCCGGTATACCGGACCGTACCCAGGGTACGTTCCGGCAGTACCCTGGGGGACATAGACCCTATGAGCACTAGTACTAGTACAAGTAGCAGTGCCAGTACATGTACTAACAAAACTAGGCCGGTCACTAGACAAAACAGCACTAGTCTTCAACCTGACACAAACATTATTAACATCGCTGAAAGCACCAAAGAATAAAGCTGTTTTGCAAACGCATCTGTAGTTTTTCATACGTATGTGATGAAGGTGTGTTTTCCGAAATGCGTTTATACAATAGTGAGACTTGGTACAGTGTAAATAAATGAAACAATATTTACTCATTTGACATTTCTAGTTACCAACAGCTGATGCCACTAGCACGGATTCAGGCTATTCCTGCAGTGTTATATACCCATAAAGTTATGTTATGTATGCTTGTAACGTTAATTTACAGTAACCACACGTTCGTTATTACACTTAACAATAATTTAAACATTTTTGCATAACATGTTCCTAATTCTTGTTTATTTGAAATTATATAATTACATATAGGTCCTAACAGACAAACTAGTAGCGAAACCTTTACCTGTGCATCATTCTGATTAAGTGAGGGGCACTTCTTTCGGAGTACTAATGCACATATATTGGCATAAAAAATTTGTTTCCAGCTGATATTCCTTCAATGATTAGGTAACAGAGGTATACTAGAACTGACCTCAAAAGATGCAACCCGATCAAGAACTCAGGTTAACATATTTTTCAGTTTATGTCCCTATGTCCCACACGCACGTACCCAACTAAATAAAAACATTAATATTAATAAACAACATTAGTAAGCAAACCCAGTTAAAATATATCCAGTAATGCCTACATGGGCCTCCTGTTGAACTTAGTAGTTTTAATAATGTAAAAGTCTTACAATTAGATACTCAGTGCATGGATTAAGCTCAATTTTTATACAAAACTATCACAAATCGTTTTACAGGCAAAACCCATATTAGTAATGGGCTCTAGCCTTTATTATACTATTTTCATCGTTATTCTATTTTCTAAAGATGATATAGTTTCTTATAATTCTAGCAGAGTTTGATTTAAAACATCTTTCAAGAGAATCTGAATGGATACATGTGCATAAAAAAATAAATCAACCCTACGACCTCTAATTAATGTAACTAAAGGGTCACTTAATATTTAACACTTCTCAAGCAGCAAGTTCCAATGTGTTTGTTACAATAATAACAATCTATTGCTCCACAATCACCAGGTAAGCAAAATATAGTTCATTATCAACCGTTATGATAAATATTTATTGATTTTCTTAAATATTATGTTCTCAAGGTATGTGAGTTACCATAATTAGGAATTTAATGTATGCCTATATTATGCCCCTCTCAAGAAATGGTGCTACATTGTGTACTGTCATTTTTAAGTTAAACAAAATGTCAAATTAGATTTATATTTGTTAACCATGGAAGAGTATGTCCATCAGGTAAAGGTTATTGGATGTAGTTTCTGTTGGAAGTATTTACGTTTTATACTGAGAGCTCAGTGGGATCATGATAACTATTTTTTTACTGTGCATATTTTAGAAGCTAATTTGTCCAAACCCTTTGCTAATTATTGGAGAACAATTTGGGTAATTCCCATTAATAACAGTCGCCTCTTGTAATTCTGAGCACGTGATATAGTCAGTGTAATGCTGATGTGTTCCATGGTACTTCAATAAATTGTATGTTATTATTTTGACAATATGCACCTAATTGAAGCCATCTGGTGATTCTCATGACAGAGATAGCATGATGATAGTCCGCATGTTTGCTGATGATAAGTTCTGGTTAGAACCAGAACTAGGAAATTTGTGTGTGTATGTGTTGGAAGCAAGTTTTGGTGCACCTGTACTAAAATGTGTACTAGGTATTGCTATGTCAACGTGCAATGTGGCTAACTAACAATTTCTACTAGTTCTAAATACTAGTCTACAATGACTACTAACAATATCTAACTAATGACATTCTAACAATGCATAATTAAGCTTCTTTGCCAGCCATACTCATGAAATGGTAAGCTAATGTTATTTCATTCAACCGTGTATTAGTTTTCTGGATTTTGAGACATGAGTTGACATCATGACCAGTCATGCATTGAAGCACTCTCTGATAGAAATTTAATAAAGTATTTCATACTTTCCGTGGAGTGAGTGCAAATAAAAAAACATTTGTTCAAATGCTCAAGTTATTTAGAGCTAAAATGTTATTTAAATGATGTAGCCTAAATCTAATACGATGATTCTAAAGTAGTATACTGGCAAACACTCATGGTAATAGCACATAATAGAATGTACAAGACACATCTCTTGAAATAAAAATATGTTGCTTCTGTTTGTTTAATTCGGTGTTTACAGCCTTTAACTGTATCAAACCCATTATCACAATGCTTGTGTGCTATTAACGTGCTGTGGAGGTTGGTGAAGCATATATACAGTTTGTATTGTACATTGTTCGAAAGACCCATCACCATTTTGTCATGCAATTTTTTTAAATGTGAAATGAGTTATATAGAATAACTAGATATATCTGTGGTTTAATGAAGGTGTGCCGTAATATTTTGACGGAAGCGATTTCCATGCGATGGCTTCTTATTGAGTATGTTTTGATTATATTACGTGGAAAACGTGTGTGAATGTTTTATGTGAGGCGACTGCCAACCATCACTGTCTTAACTGTGGAATTGATCATGTTTAAATTGTAAAACCTTTATATGATTGCTATTGGTGTCATGCTTTGTTATGCACTTCGTAAATATTTTTTGGCGTAGAGAGTGTGCGGAGCTCACAGATTATGTTTCAGCAATCTCTTTGTCAGAAGCCAACGGGCTTCCGGCAGAATCTAAGTTAAAGTCCTACTTGCCTCTTCCTGTGTGTACTTTGAACAATTGATTGCAGTACGAGTAAGAGCGCACGTTGGACTCTTCGATGGATTTATCTACCTGGGAATGGTCTGTGAGATGTACAGTGCATCCTTGAATTCCTGCAGAATGTTTGCACTACTTTTAGCATACACGCGCCAAAATCAGAGCTTACTCTGAACGATGTGGGAAATGCTTTTCCAGGAACAAGTTAGATTCATTGTATGATTTGAACAAAAACCAAATGACAAGAAAATCATATATACAAATCCTCGGGTGAATGTCTATTTTCGTAAAACTTTAAAAAAGAGAAAATCGAGAGAGCAATCGAGGTCAGCCATACTGTGCCAGCGTTCAATGCAGCACATATAGATTAATATAAGAGGCATAGTGAGAAGTAAAACTAAAGGTTACTCCTTATATTGATATATAAAGCATATTATTGAGGATTATATATAAATATATATATATATATATGTGATATATAATATATTATATATGATATATTCGTCAACTCTCGTCGAGTGCTTACGTTACGTTGCTATTTCAGCGGTCGTCTGCAGCAGCTCCAGTGAGTTACTACCAGGACAGCGTGAAGGGATTCGTGAAGCCAGCTGTTGCTCCGAGTGTGAGTGGCAGCAGCAGTGGTCTAGTTACGAGCTTCAGTAACATCTCCATCACCGGCAAGGTGCGTGTTCCACCTCCTCCTCCATCGTCGCACGTTTATGTCTTCAGCTGGTATTCCAAATTCGGATTCCAAAGTTTCCCTTTTGGAATTCCCCCGATAGTTTCCGTCTTTGCAATTCAGTGTAGCGATCTTACTTCCTGTCTGAATTCTAACAACACTTTCCTTTTTTGCCAATTTTTCCTTCTTCGGAGTTCCCAAGTACCAATGTTAGTTTTCTTCTTTGGCATTCTGAGTTTTTAAGTTACTTTCCATATGTTTTGCACCGATTGTGAATTGGCGTAATGATGGGAGCATTTCGTAGAGTCATCGTTGTGGTGCTGCCATCTTGTGTGCAGGGGACGCCGGTGTCAGGTGACAATACGCAGACGACTCCTCCCGGAATGGTACACAGCTCCTCGACGCCATCATTCTCCAACTTCACCGCAACGAATTCGCAAGCGTTTCAATCTTCCTGGGGGCAAGGTGCGTTGCTGTGTCAGAGCTGGGGTGATCAGTCAAAACCTAATGGGGGGTGCCATCTGTGTTCTGAAGCCTGCACTAAGATGGAAACACAAGGACAGTCTACATTACTAATTGAGATATGAGATTGATCACGGAGTATTGGGCTCGGCTTGACATCTTTTACTGTTGCCTAGCGTTGCATATGTTCCTCTAGGGAGAGTATGACCTTCTACTGTATATCTCGTGAATAGGAGCTGTACCTATACAGAACTGTCGGCTCTGGTTATGTTGTTGTTGTTGTCATTGTTGCCATCTTTGCCTTGCAGCCGGCTTGAGTCCAGGAAACAGCCCCCGGACCAGCCCACCACACTCACCAAACGCCGCGAGAAAAAGCAAGTCACCCGCTCCAGCAAAAGCCAACCGAGATTTCACCCCACCTCCAAAACTTGCTCAGTACCAGGTCTGAATGATTTTGATTGTTTGTTAGTGATGAACCATCACATGTAAATTCTTGAGGGTAAATTTGTCGGAATAGGCATTGTCCTCTGTTATCGGCAATTTCCTGATCAAGGAATTGATATCTTATAATATTGAATCTAGTCCTAGCACAAGTGTTGATCTATAGTGTGTTTAATGTTTACGTAATGATGTGATGTGGCACATGTAGGTTTTATGTTATTATTTTTAAACTGGAGTAAATTCTCTTCCACTTTGTGTTACTCCAAGTAATTGTCTGTCCTGAGAACCTAAGCAAGCTCAGAAATCAAATGTTTTTTAAAACGATCACTGTTTACTTTTAAGTTTGTCCTCGAATTTTTGTTCTTCGCAACATCTCGCCAGCAACTGCCTGCTATTATCGTGTCAACTCACTATCAACCAGTACGGCTACATTCACCCATGTTGGGATTCAGGAGCGTTGTGATTTACTCGTTTACAGGAAAATGTTGGTGGCACAACTTACTTCTTCACAGAGGAGGTACAACCTGTACAAAAGCCAAGCATTGTAGGTCACAGAGAGGTGTATCCTCCCTATCAGAGATTATTTACTCAGATTCCACTACCTTCTCTATTGAATCGCAGCATTTGCAAATCTTATAGAATCGATCATAAAGGCCTAGCAAATGTATTTTCCTTTGTCTTAGACTTTCGGCTTGATATGCGTTTGCCTGGCGCTGTATGTTTAGAATCGTATATTCATGATGGCGGCAGTGTCTATGCACTACTATTGCAAATACGTCTGCTGATCATCGTATGATTCTTAGTGCTGTTCCCACCCATGATGCTTAACTTCTCATGGCAGACGAGCCATTCTTCCACCTCTCGTAGTCTAAGTAGAACTTTACACCGCCTAACGTAGACGTAGCTAGTCTTGTAATAATAATCTTTAACCCTCTAAAGGCTGATATGAGCTTTCTGTTTAGCGCTGTATGTTAAGCAGGTCTGCTTTTATTCGTGTTCACGTCTGTTGCTGCAAAAGTAGCTCTAAACCGGGTTATGCACGAGTATGTGTGAATCATTCTGTGATTACGTTTAAGATTATCTATGATAGTGTGATTTCAAGTTCCTGTTGGAAGCTGGCTTACACGCGAGTGGTTTGTATACAGAGCAATTTGTGTATACAATTTGCAGCTTGGCATGCGTCTGGTAGTTTTGTACCGGCGTAGGATTGCGTTCTCGCCTTCCTACGTTGCAGGTGGCAGTGTAAAAAAGTAATGCAGCCCAGTTTTACACAGAGTGTTGACAAGGGTGTCGGCAGTGTTGTCTAGCACTCACTGCTGCAGTATTTAATATAGTCTCATAAAAATTTCATACGGCACACTGTAAGAATCGGAAATATCCAGGCCAGAACTAAAAATCGGCCAATCGCTAGACTTATAGTGTTGAGCGAACCCAGATGTATTTCATTAGCTGGGTAATTATTATTCGATAGTGCGGTGCTTTCTGTCAATCTCGCAGTCGATTTTGCCGTGCTCGTTTGACATGAGTAGTGCAGCTACCCTGAGCTTTGAATAGTAATTACTCACTTACTCATAGCTACAGCACTAGCTATTGTATTTAACATAACTGTGTGCGTGTGGGGTGGGGCGGGGGGCCTCCTAAAAGTATTGTCGCTAACTGAGTACTGATTGAGACCTGCGTTTCTTCCTTTGTGTTCCTGTCTGTTCATGCTTGCGCCCATTCTCTCGCGCACGCACCTGCCCTGCAATTAAATTGACTACGTCACGAATTGTTTATGGTGTATATTTGTAAAAAAAAAATTGCCATTTTTTTACATTAAAAGTAAGTACGAACGGGACTAAATGTATCGTCAAATTCTTACTTGATAAGATTGTTTCTCAACTAATTAAAAATCCAAAAAACCTTGACGATTTGATATTAGTGTTCCTAACATTAATTGCTTGCTATGTGCTATGTATGAGTTACGAGTGTATGTTCACATCGAACAATATAGTAAAACAGGAAGTATAATGCAGCAATGTAACCATAAAAAGTAAACAGAATTACTTACATTTTGTGAAAAAGTGGAAATGTTTTTTTTAGTTCTACTATTTACGATGACGTAATCACGTTAATCGGCCGGTGTGTTCTGGTTGCAGGTGCTTCCAGACTACCACGTGTACCCGTCACCCCCTGCTCACGTGGCTCAGATGAAGCAAAAGCCAAACTCGCCCTCGTTCTTCATGTCCGACGAAATCCGCATGGTGAGTAGCGAAGTTTGACATCGCGCGCCTCACGACGAGGCGCGCCTCAGTTTTGCCTCGAGTGTCTCACGTTTGTCATGAAGTTTGACGTCGCGCGACGAGGCGTGTCTCACTCTTGCCTTAACTGTCTCACCTATGACCTAAATGATCTAATATCTGACCTGTCAGACTTTGCCTCTCACATTGAATATCTCGACTTCTTCTTCAGACATATGCAGTCTGTTGTATAATCTTGGTGACCTGCATGTCAGGATTGATCAATTAATTAATCAATCAATTAATTAATCAATCAATTAATTATCTCTAACCTGTGAGACTGAGGGCCGCTCGCACGCGGTGAACATTGACTGCCCGTTGTTTACCCGCCTGTCCGCGCGTTATTGCAGGAAATACTTAACAAGCACACGCTCGTGATGGCGCAAGTCAACCCGGAGCAGTATCCGGATATTCCGACGGAGGTCGACAACTACCACCACCTGGTGCCACTCGAACCGCCTCCTGTCAACCCGATGGAGAAGTCGAACACGTTTGGCTACACGACGTCCGTCTACAAGGCGACGCACATGAAGACGGGGTTGACCTACTGCCTGCGCAGAATCCACGGTGCGTGGGAATGGGGCGGAGTGGGTGGGGGGAGGGTCGGTGGTAGTGTAGCGTGGTTGTGGCGTGGTGTGATCATGCCTGCAGCGTGGTCTGGGTGTGGTGTGATTATGCCTGTGGCGTGGTGTGGCTGTGTCCATGGTTGCATAGTCAATGGTTTTTTGGAGAATGAGATTGGCTAAACACCATTGTGCCATTTCTCAGTGCTGTTGCAACTGTGAC